GGAGAGCGGCAGCCAGGTGGCCTGGAACGAAACCCACCACTGCCGGCTGCTCGCGGGCATGGTGCCCGACCAGTTCCAGATGTGCCGGAGGAACCTGGAGGTCATGCACAGCATCGTCCGGGCCGCCAGTGAGACCAAGAGCGTCTGCCAGAAAACCTTCGCTGACATGCGGTGGAACTGCTCCTCCATCCAGCGCGCCCCCAGCTTCGGTCCTGACCTGGTAAAAGGTAAAGGAAGCTTTTTGGCTGGTGTTTTCATGCCTGTCTTTCTTGCTTCTCATAGCTTTTTGGGCAAACGGTGCTTTAAACACTGCTTTAAGAAACAAAGCTGCTGTTCCTTTGATGGGTGTCAATTCTGCCTTAGATTCGTCGGAGAAAACTTGCTGTCATTACAGTGGTGTTAATCCCATGCAACTTAGATCAGGACCTGACCAGAGTACACTGGAGAGAGCTGACTGGAGCTCTGCCAGGGGCAAAACCTAGAGTTAGAGGCTCTGACAAAGGGGGAAGAGCTCTAATCCAGCAGAAACAGAGGCTATATAATGAAGAGATAATATAATAGAGGGCACAGGTTAAAAATATGGAGCACAAGAAAAATGTATTAAGCCTAAGCTTTATCTTCTTGCAAGAAAGAAAGCAGCATTTGCAATGAAAAAATTCTCCTGAGTCTTTCTTTAGTGGCACGTAACAGTGTTTACCAGGGATAGGCAGTGCTGAAGACACATGGAAAAGTCCGGCAAGGAGCATGAGGCTGATACAGTGGCCTGTATCACAGATGAAGGTGGCTGAGTTGGATCGAGTCAGATGGAGAAGAGAAAGGGAAGAGAAAATGCCTGGTGCTGACTTACACAGCAAATCTGTGAGGTGTTGGGGGGACTTCAGGTGTGCAGGGACTTAAGATCCAAGCAGGTGGGACAAGTGCTGTTGAAAGCAATGCAGGACTTGCATACGCTGTTATGCCTTGTTAGGATTTCTGAGGCTGAGCAGTGCTAGCCGTGGTGTGCTGCAGCCCAGCGATCTGAGTGTCAGCTCTAAGGGGTCATGTTTTCCCTACCCCCACTGCATGTGGGGAAGTGCGGTTGCTTCTGCGTTAAGACTTTTCCAAAACGCACCTGTTAGTAGTGGGTAGAAACAGAACCGATCATGGGTGACTTGCTTGGCACTGGGAAACCCCTTTGCACTGTGAGGTTTGTGACTTGATGTGTTTAGGTGGGTGGGACATTTTTCCCCTTTTCTTTATAGGAACCAGGGAATCTGCCTTTGTCTATGCTCTTGCTGCTGCTGCTGTCACGCACTCTATTGCCCAGGCCTGCACCTCAGGAGAACTCCCTCTCTGTTCGTGTGGGTCTGTCCCATCTGAGGTCCCCGGGCCTGACTTCCGATGGGGTGGCTGTGGGGACAACCTGCGCTATGGCCTCCAGCTTGGTGCTGCTTTTGCTGACAGTCCCTTAAAATCCAGCAAGCTGAGAACACAAGCTATCAAGGCCATGAATCTGCATAACAATGCTGTGGGCCGACAGGTAGGTATGGTCACTGGCCACAAATTGCTACAACAGGGGCACATAGTGAGACAACTTGGATGGCTGGTAGCCTAATGTAAGGTTGTAGACTCTGGCCAGGCTGTTGGGATGCTGTCCTTAAAGTGAGGAGGCAATTAAACTGTTAAAATGGAGCTACACGTGTTTGGAGACACACACACAGAGGCATGTATCCTTGTACCCCTTACACAACTAGGGAGATATTTGCCACTTTACATTAGTACTTCTTTATGCCCTTCTAACGGAACGCAAAGACCCATCCTGCTTCGTGGCTGCTCTGCTTAAGGAATGCTGTCAGCTGTGCTTATCAGCTATGCTGAGAACTGCTAATTCCTTTGTACTTTAATGCAGTCGTGTTCCCCACATGAGGACTTGGCCATCTCTGTGGCCTGCACATGTAATTTAGGGAAGCGTCTGGCCCCACTGCAAACTCCGGCTGGTATTTTCCCAAAGGTTACATTCTTATCACCAGAGGAATGAAGCAGGGCCCAGTCCTTGATTGCCCCATTATATTCATTGCAAAGAAAACATTCTCTAGTTGTCCCAATAGCATTGTTTTCTTTTGCTTTCAAACAAGTAAAAAGAGGTTTTTCAGGCGGCAGAAAGCAGCAGAGCTTTTTCAACTCTTGAAGCTTCCTGTGGATGCTCTTTTAAATAAATCAGTAGGGTAAGTACCAGGAGAAAGCAAGAGTAAATTCATCTCTCTTCCTCTCCTCTGCAGGTACTGAGTGATTCCTTGGAAACCAAGTGCAAATGCCATGGTGTTTCAGGTTCCTGTTCAGTTAAGACCTGTTGGAAGGGACTGCCAAACCTAGGTGAAATTGCCTCTGACCTAAAATCCAAGTACCTGGCAGCTATCAAGGTGACCCACCGGCTCGTGGGGCCCAGGAAGCAGCTGATACCCAAAGAAATGGATGTGAGGCCAGTGAAAGAGACTGATTTGGTTTATCTAATCAGCTCTCCAGACTACTGCACTGTGAATCTCCAGCTGGGGTCTCTGGGGACACAGGATAGGTAAGAAACTGCTACGAATATATAATAAATCAGCCTCCAATACAGAGAGCTTCTGTTACGTATATGTAGCCAGAAATACTCTCTGGACAGTCTCTGCAGTCTCTCGGGAGTTGGGAAAGGGGTGTAACTGCCATGGCTTTATGCAGCCTGGAGTACTGCTTACATCTGCTGTAGTAAGTTCTGTAGCCCCCTCTATCTGCAGCGGCAGACTGTATGAGCAGGCCCGCCGAGGACTTGGGCATCCTTTCCACTGTGTTGTCTCATGCGGCACCTTCTGTGGCTTAAACTAACACCTACCCATTTATGAGTGTCTGTTCCATTGGGTTTGAGAGCACACTCTAGGAAGTTTATGTGGATGGACAGTTCCCAGTTAGATGTGGACACCATGGGGAGTGTTGGGCTTAAAATAGGCAAAGACTTCCCCATGGGCAGGATGGCAGATGTTGCTTTTCTGGAGCTATGTGGAGTAAAGGCAAGTGGGAGTCCAGCAGGCCATCACTGCTAGTCCGTCACCTCCATTCTGCTCCAGGACAGGATCCAGCCATTTCAGTGAGCAGAGTCAGGAAGAAAAATCTTACTCCTCCCTGCAAACCTACAGGTTCTGCATGCCTGTAACCAGGGGAAGAAGGCTCAGAAGTCCTTGGAGTCTGTGGTGCATCCCTGAGGCCCTCCTTCTGGGGTGTATTTGTGTAGGGGGGGGTTGCAATCCCTATTAGATCTAGTAACAGGAGAAGTGAGTGGTCCTAGCCATCCTCCCTTCCTTCTCCACTGGAAGTTCCTGCACGAGCGTGATATAGTGTGTGTCCATCCTCAGCCACAGCTGCTGGCACAGTGTTTACACTGTCATGAGCAGAAATCAACTCTAGTTAGTGTGCCACAAGCAGACCTTGCTTTCTCCCTCTATCTTGCTGCCTCTTGCTATGGGCAAGAAATCTTTGGCAGGAGGCCAGGGCAGATAGCTGTGTCCTGTACCCTCCCCTGCCGCCACAATGGGTAGACACGTACATTCCCTGAGTTCTTGCTTGTATGTCCTCCCATTGGCAGGCAGTGCAACAAGACCTCTGTGGGCAGTGACGGCTGCAACCTGATGTGCTGTGGCCGTGGCTACAACGCCTACACTGAAGAGGTGGTGGAGAGGTGTCACTGCAAGTATCACTGGTGCTGCTACGTGGTGTGCAAGAAGTGCCGGCGGATGGTGGAGAGATACGTCTGTAAATAGCACAGGAGGCTTCACGGAAGGCAAGGGAGGACTCCTTGTGCTAGTAGCCTCCAGGGTGCATCTGGAGACAGAACGCCAACTGTAAGGGATGCTCTGAGCTACGGCAAGAAGGGGGCTGTGCTGGAAGCCTGGACTCTGGCATTACCATGGTAGACCACAAACCAAGTGATGAGGGGGAGTATAAAATCCAAGGCCGACCTTTCCCCATCTCTCCAGAGCAGGACAAAGGGCTGCCCTTCTGTAGGTGATCAGGAGGGTCCAGCCCTCTGTTCCCTGCTGGGGACAAACCATTTATCACTCTGCATGCACAGACCCTTTTCTCTAGGGGTCAATGGGGACCCTAGGCTGCCATTGTCTCTTTGCAGGAGGCTTTTGACAGTGGCCTGTAAGCTAGGAGTGATGGATGGGAAAGGGAGTAAAGAGCTGCCCATTGGGAGAAGGCTACAGGGAAAAAAAGCTGATGCTTAGGGTGAGGGGGTCATGGGCAGTTGTTGTGGGGGGACAGGTTTCTGCTGTAGGCTCACCCCACACGACTGAATGCTCTTCCTCAGAGGTAGATATTTGTCCAGTGTCTTGCAGCATCTGAAATGAAGACCATGTTTGGACACAAGGAGAACCAATTATTGCTCCAGGAGGCTCATCAGACTTCTCCAAGATCTGCATGGAGATTGCTCCTCCTCAGTAATGAGACACCTCATCTGTGACTGATGCTAACATATAAGCCAATGGACAGGAGGGGTCCTGGAGACTACCTAGGCAGGTTGGTGTGCCAAAACTGCGCACATCAACCTTATATTAAGAAAACAACCATGGCAGTCCTGTAGTCTCTGCCCTCTGAACTTGTGTTGGAGGTAGAAGCCCACTCAACAAGTGTGCTCACTCATCCTTCCTGCCCCTTCTGTTTGACCCCAAGGATATTCAGCCTATTCCTTCCACACACACCCCCGCCTTAATACTAGGTGTGCTGGCACTCTGGCCTGGACAGAGGACATGACTTCAGGGCCCTAGGGCAATAAGAATGAACCTTTAGTCTCTGTACTTACTTATTTAATGTAAGTGGGGTTCTGGTGTGTATTTTTTAAATAAATATATTACAGCATCTCTTCTGGTGACAGACCTGCATGTTTCCTAGGATGGCCACATTCCTCCACTCCATTGCAATTCAGCTGGCCACAGGGAAAACGAGGCTGTAAGGAGAGTGAAGCACAGTTTGTGCACCCTCACACAACGGTGCCACAACCTGTATGACAGAGAACTCGCTCTGTTCTAAGACATGTTTTCACTCTTTCTGCTGCTCATTGGTCCAGGTTTGCCTTTAACTACAGTTATTGCAAGTCAGCCTCAGCTATTGTGCAGATACAGAAAACGTTATGGAATACTTCCTTGGGCCTCTGACCAACAAACTAAGAATTCAGCCTTCTGGAGTTTAGTTTTGGTAGCTAGGAAGTGTGGAACTGAGGAAGTGTGAGCTTATTTTCTGATCCTTGTGAACGTGGGCTGGACTAACTGTGTATGTGAACAGCAAGAAGTCAGAAGTCACAGGATGGGAGGCCTGATATACATACCTTTTCCTTCCCTCTGTTGCCCTGATTTATTCTAGCACTGAAGCTGGCCAAGTGTTTGCATGGAATAAGAGATTCCAGTTCATGCAGGCTTTGGAGAGAAAGGATGAGTCTAAATACACATGTGCTCAGAAAACCTACAGCATGAGAAAAACAGGTAAATGTGATTGAAATCTTAAGACAATTTCCTGTAGCTCACATCATGACCTAGAGATTCTGGCAGCTTTGCATGCATCTTGTTTTATTTGTGGTTTGTATTGAATGGAATTGGCTGTGTTCAGCCCTGAGTCCAGCTGTAAGATTACTCATTTCCATGTTCATTCAATCATTTTAAAAGCCTCTGCTAGGTCATGGAATCAATTAATAAGCTTTTATTGTAAATTGTCCCCTCCGTTTAATGTGCTCCAGGTTTCTATATTAGGAGTGAATAAGAGCTGAGAGTCAAAGGTGGCTTGAGACAAGCCTGGGAGCTGGAAGTTGAAATGCTCGGAGGTGAAGCATATGCTCGCATAGTTAACTAAGTGAGTTAACTATCATTATCAGTTGTTAACGTGCCATTGACTTGATCACATATAGCCTGGCATATAGCCTTCCCAGAGTGACAGCAAAGTCACAGCTGTAAGGCCAAAAAGCGCGCTCTCAAGTTTTTCTTTTAAAATGCAATTAGGAGTTAGTCACCAACATTCCTCAGAAAAGGGAGTCTTCAGCTGCTAGGCTGCAAAACCGGTGAAGCTTCTGTATCCAGAACCAGGCTAAGTGGAGAGGTGATGCAGGTACTTAATTAGGAGGACTGCTTAAATGCCTTCTTTATAGCCACCTCACTGTTCATTGCCAGATCAGAGGGAGGTGAAACTGGGAGGGGCTGTGAACTCTGCAGAGCATTGCAAAATGAGCTGGTGAGAAAAAAAGGGGGGAAGGATATTGTGGAGTGAGAGATTCAGCCAGGAGGGTGGGAAATGTGATTTGCATTTGGTAACTACAAACATACATAGCCTGGGGTGGAGGAGAAGAGCTACAATAGCTAGGAATGCCCTGGGGAGGTGTTGTGATCCTCTCCTACAGAGGTCTTATTTGAATTTCTGCCTGGGAAAAGGCAGGGTCAAGTGCTGAATATGCAGAGTCCTCTTCTTCCCTCACTTCTTGCATTTTGACTGCAGGCCCAACAGGGAAGAATTAGGAAAGGACTGGAGGGGTCATTTGGCAGTGAAGGTGCTGGGCTCCATTTAGGTCCTGGGGGAAATCAGAAAGCGCTGTAATTAGTTGAAGGATGCAAAGGGTCAGGCTGACAGGAAGAACTGTGGTGGGGAGGTGACAGTCAAGTGACAATGTTTTGAGTGGGAAGTGTTGTAATCCTGGGCCCACGTCTAGAATTACTGGGCTTGTGAGATCTGCTAGACTGGGAGAGTCTCCTAGGGATGAGAGAGCCAGAACAGGGCAATTAATACTAGATGATGGATCCAGAGGGAATAAACCATGCACTTGACGGGATTCATCTGACAGAACGCGTTTTCTATCTCTAACCCTGCCTGGACAGAAATGCCAGTAGGAAGTTGCCAGAAGAACATAGAGCCCTTTTTTTCCCCTGCCCAGGCTGGCACAAGAACCCTCTGAGGTAAAAGAAGGGAACAACCTGGATGTGGATATCACCTTTCGGTGGCTTCCAGTGCCAGCCAGGGCAATGCCTTCTGCCAGAGAAATCAGTACAAGAGGCTTTTTCTCCAACCCTCTATAGCCTCTGTTCCACCACAAATGTTTCAAGCTGTGGTAGGCAGCACTTCGGGACCTGATTAAACCTGGATGAGGAAGGTAGCGTTGTCCCTGTAACTGAGAAGATCTTTGTAACAGTTGTGGCTTTGCAGCCCTTCATACATTTCCTCTAACATTTCTTTTGCCTCAGTTTCGCAATGAGTCCTCTTTGGAGTATGGCAGACTGCTGTCATCACTCTCTGCTTCATGAGCCCTCATCTGGCTCGCTACTAATGTTGGCAAATTTACCTCTTTACTTTTCTCTCCTAAGCCTTTTTTCTCCCCATTGTCTTATGGCTTTCTGTTTATCTTTTTCTCTGGAAATTAAATTCCTGGACCTGATTTTACTATGGTCATGGCAGATGTCTCTCACTTGTTGGTGCTGTGAACTGATGTGGAAGAGATGGCTCTGAATTTGGCTTGAGCTCAGAAAAAAGAAGAAAACATTTTCCTATATATGAAGTAGGATCAGAACCAGGTAGCGGGTTTGCTCTGAAAAGCTTCCTCTCAGTTACCACCTGAGTTTTTATTTCTGTTTGAAAGGAGTAACACTGAGATGAACAGGATCATTCCCTACTGGTTAGATTGTGTGGACAATGAGGTCGATAGAAAAGGGAGTGATTTTTCCTGGATTCCTTTGACTTTGATGCTAAAGCACTGTTTTGTTTTGTTTTTAATTTATTCGTTGAAGGATGCTCAATAAGTTATTCCAAGAGGATAACTTGAGCAAAGGCAACTAGCTGTTGGTAAATAAGTAAGGGTTTTGGGAGGTGAATGACTCTGTTCAAGAACGTGTTGGGATGTTTCTTCCCTGCAGCCCTGAGGTTGAAGCTCTGACAGGAGGGTGGGTCAGGACTTCCATCTGCACCAAAGGAGCTTCTTGGCTATGACAAAAGCTGATCCAGAATGAATTAAAGGTTTGGGAGGGCATCACTGTCTAAGGGCTCAGCTGTTGATCAACATCTGTACTGCTTCAGATATTTGGGGAATGTTACTTTGACCTTTGGGACAGTACCTACAGTATTCCGCAATAAGAGACAAACATGAGTGAACGCTTGTATTTAAGGAAAAGCCTTTGCATGTCTGTTCTCCTTTATTTCTGCGGTGTTCAGCAGTATTATGATACCCTGAGGATGACAAGTAATAATAGGGATTGTCCTTATGGGGATCCTCAGCTGAGAGACAGGGGCAGGGACAAATCGATGTGAGTAACAGCCATGAGACTGATGGGGGAACTAGACTGCAGCCAGGAAGGACCTCAGGCATAGCGGGAAGGGTAGTTGATGCAATGGCTGTGCTAGATTCAAAGGGAAAGAGACTCCCATCCCTTCTTCTTGGATGGTCAGGCTGGAATCCCTTCCAGATTTTCAGCAAGTTGCTGAATCAGAGGAGAAAAGACCTAGATACCAAAGGCTGCTGTGGAGAGCTATACTCTGAAGTCAAGGAACTATCCCATAGTGCTTGATGGTTTCTTTCCAGAAGAAAACACGTGCAGCAAAAAGAGCCTGGGAGCATCATGTTACCTGCTCCTACACCAGCACTGTCACTGGAACAGGACTTTGCTAGGAGGACATACGGCCAAAAGTATTCTCAGGGAAAGGCTGACTGCTGGGCAAGCAGTCTTCAGTAGTGGGGACGCAGGGAGAGACGGCTGGAGTCCTGTCAAGCTGAATGCAGCAAAAATGATGGGATCTCTCTCTCTAGGAAGGTCACACAGAGGAGACACTCTGCAGGAGGGAAGCAGCAGCTGTACCACCTGATGGTGCGCAAGCTCGGGGGCAGAACAGGGCGACTGCATGTTGTGGTATCCTTATCACAGCCAGAGGGGCCAAGAAGAGTGGGGTTGCTACATTTCTAAGCACCTTGGACTTCTTTCACCAGCCCATTTTTCTCCCTCTCACTTGTTTTCTGGGCAATGGGGCCTAGTTTGAATTAATTCATGTACAGTGTGGGGTAGTGCACTGGAGGTTGCTTTTGGTGGACTTTTCAAATTCCAGCAAAAGCGCCATGGCCCTACTGTTGAATCACTAAATAATAGCATCTCCCCTGTGTGCATTTGTGAGGAAACTGCCTCCAAAGCCAGTCAGAAGGTGAATTAAGCAGGGAAGGATGTGCAGAAGAGTCTTCTCTCCAAAGCTGAAGCTGACTTAGGCCTATGAGCCACCTTAGGGCTGCCGTGCAACTGGCCTTTTTCAGACACATGCTCCCCCTCCACCATGCTGGAACTCCATCCACCCAGATTTTGAGGACTTTCTCAGGTTAAGTATGTGTCAGCCATGACCGCTGTGCATGTGCTGTATGGTAGACTAAGGAATTTCCAGGTGTGCTTCAGTCTGGCTGGAGCATTATTTGTGTGTACCGTGCTGTAGGGCCACACGCAGAAGCTCTAACACCTTCCAGGAAGCCTGGATGTACTTGTAACGTGTCTAGTGCTCCTGCGAAGCACTGGACAGGCCCTCTGGATGTGCAAAGCCAGATGTTCTGTACACATGCACGAAATGGAATACACCATGGCAGTCTTGGTTTTACTACCTATATAATGGAAAGCACGTGGGCATGTTTCATGTCTGGGAAATGATGGGTGGAAATATAAGGACACTCCAGAACCTGAGGTGAGATTGATCCCGGGACATTAACTTCATGCTGAGAACCTATGGCACCAAGACACCTGGTAGAGCTGGAGAGTGGAAGAGATTGATCCCCTGCTTGTAAAAAACTCCTCCTTTTCACACACAGTGGAACTAATCACA